CCCCCCCCCCCCCCCCGGGACGTGCAGGGTGGGCTCAGCTTTCTTGGCAGACGCTGCGTGTTGTTGAGCATTAATTATTGGACACTTGGAAAAATGTGTTCCGGGAAGTTCCACGGCTATATTTAGCCCGGTGGTTTTCGTGCCAGCCTCGTCTCCCTGAACCTGCTGGGAAGGAGACCCAGGCCCCACCCTGACTCTGTACCCTCACGTGAAGGCCAGAGACGGGGCCCAGGGCGGGGCCCTCACCCTGCAGACCTGGCGTGCCCTCGGTTCTCCTGCTGGGAGCGGGGCACGGGCGCAGGCTGGGGTCCTTCCCCGGGGAAGGCGGAGGGCGACCGGCCAAACGCGACCCACTGCACACAGCGGGAGGAGTGGGCCTGGACCCCGCTGGCACTGATGCTCGGCCACAGACCCTTGTCAGGAAGGCACAGGGAACCCAGAACCGGGAGGGACGTGCGAGCCGGTGGCTGCGGGAAGCCGGCAGGTGTGGTGACGGGTCTCTAGGGTCCGGGGAGCCTGGCGAGCCGTCCCTCTAGTCCCCGCTCTAGGCCCCCAGGGCGGCGGCTTAGGGAGTCTCATCAGGCCCGTGCCTCAGCCTCTTCTTAAGGAGCCAGACTCTCTCCTGGGACCCCAGCCCCGGGCCAGACAGCCCACGACCATCCTGCCAAAGCGTGTGGAGGTTCAGAGCACCCCAGCATGGCCTGGACCCCCGTGCCCCATGGGCTCTCTCCCTTTGTGTCTCTCCCCTCCTGTGAGCCCGTGGGGGCAGAGGCCGGTCCACCACCCTCTCCACTCCGTCCCCTGCACCCACACACACCAAGGTCCACACCAAGCCCAGGTCCCGGGAGCCCCAGGAATGCCCATCCCAGGAGCAGGGTTGGTGCCCGGGCAGAGGGGGTCTGGGGGAGGGGTGGTCCTCTCCACCTTTAGAAATAAGAAACAGAGCCTTCATCGAGGAGGATGAAAGAGACTCAAGCGCTGGGTCATTAGAGCGAGCGCTGTGGCCCCCACGGCCGTGGCCTCTCTGTGTCCAGGCCTCTAGGCTCCCACTGCTGCTGTGCTCCCTCCAGAATATTGTCGCTGGCCCATGAGGCCCAGCCCAGCCCGCTGCCCTGGGAAGACCCTCTGGTCACCACACCCACACTGGCCAAGCTCAGAACTCCAGCCTCGAACTCCCACCTGACCCTCAGCAAGACCCTCCTCGATGCCTGGGCAGGGCCAGAGCAGAGGCGCCCAGGGAGGGAGCTCCGAGGGGAGAGAGGGCAGCCCAGGAGAGCTTCCTGGAGGAGGAGACGCCCGGAAGGGACAGCAAGGAGAAAAGGAGGAGACAGGCCTTGAAGACGCCCAGAAAAGATTGGGGGTGACACTCAATGGAGGGGGTAGGGAGGAAAAGAAGGAGAGGCAGGTCAGCGTGGCCTCACCCCAAGTTGCCCTCAGGAGGGGCTGTGGAGGGCTGTGCTGGAAGTGGCCGGCAGGGGGTGGAGGCAGGTGGGCGTGTCCATGGCTCCTGAGACACCAGATGGCCTGTGAATCTGGAGGCACCGGCCCTGGCAGGGGCCGGCAGTCACGTTGTCCCTCCTGCCCTGGCCCAGGACTGGGTCCCAAAGGGCATCCCCTCTTCTGGGGGGGACACACAGGCTCCAGATAACAAATGATCCAATCACGTTGCACCACCTCCAATAGCCTGGTGGGGGGGGGAGGGGCTACTGCAAACCTCTCTCTGCAGATGGGGAAACTGAGGCATGGCGAGGCTCAGTGCACCTCCCAAGCCCAGCAGGAAGGAAGTATGGTTTGAGCGACCGATATGTCCCTGCAGCCCTCCAGGAGCCCCAGGGGTCTGGTGCGGACCCCGTGCCCCGGCAGGAGCAGAGAGAGGCTGCCTCCTCCAGGAGAAGCAGCTGGCAGGCTGGGTGCCTGTGACCCTGAGCCTGGCACCCAACACTGGGCTCCTTTCCTTCCCTCTGCCCTGTAAAATGGGGGGCAGATGACCAAGGGACCCTCAGTTTCCCCAGTGGTAAAGGCTGCAGGCAGGAGTGGGGCTCCGCCGGGGTAAGGACTCCAGGGAGCACAGCCGGGCCGCGAACCCGTCACCCCGGCTTTATGGCCGGGTGAGCCCAAAGTCACTGTGGTTGCAGGTCATGCCGTGCACGCCTCCTGGGCGCCCCAACTGCCAAGGCAAGCCCTCCGCCCACCCGCTGCCGCTGCAGGTAGGGCACAGCCAAAGGTCGGGGCGCTCTGTGCTGGGAAACACCCTCTCCGGGGCGCCGTGGGCCGGGGTCAAAGTCCACAGCTGCCTTCTCACCGGGCCAGGACATCTGTGCTGGAGGCACCGGCAGGGGCGGGGCCCAAGACTCGGGGTCCAAAGGCCTAAGTGAACCCCAAACGTTTGGTCCATATCAGGACAGTGAGGGATGTCAAGTCCCCTCCCTCACGGTGGGGGGATCAGAGGTAGAGGGGCCCCCAAGTACTCCTCGTCACCTGTGCAAGAGCCCGGAGTTTAAAACTCGGGGTGGCGAGGGTGGGGAGCAGGCCTTCCGGAAAGGGCTCCGGAGGCATCTGTGATAACACCTGCTCGGAGCCGTCCAGCAAGCCCGGCTGGGGGCTTATCGACACCCCAGTCCTCGCAGCCCGGCTCACTTGGGCCAAAATCGAAACGCGGACACACTCCGGTGACGGCCCAAACCCAGCATCGCAGGCTCTGCCGCAAAACACCACGCGGCTGCTCAAAACCCTGGTCGTGTGGCCGGGCAGCACGTGTGTCGGTCAGGGAAGAAGCGACACGCCCGGCGGGGGGCTCCCGTGGGCCCCAAACACCTCCGACACGCGCCCTTTCCGCAGATGACGTGGGCTTTGTGCAGAGGGGCGGGAGCGTCGGGAGCGGGCCCGCCCTGGGGTTTCTGGGAGCCTGCGGGGAGGAGGAGGGTAAAAGGGCTTCGGTTTTCTTTCAGAAACACTGTATTGTCCCCGCTGCTGATGGGGACTTGGGCTCCTTGTGTAACTCAGAAGAAAAGGCCAAAAGGGAATCCTACGGACAGCTGTGCTTTGACCAGAAGAAAATAAATAAATGACAACTCATTCTTCCCACCATGGTTCCCGCCACCTCTTCCTGGTCCAACCTCGTGTGCGTAGCGGTCACGCTCCACGGGCCTCGAGACCCTTCTGAGCACTCCGTCCGTTCCCTCTGCCCTGAAACCCTTTCTGCTCGCCTCATTCAGCAAACTTCTACTCACACCTCAAAGCCCTGCCCGCTCAAGGCCAACAGATACGCGTCTGTGGCGGATGAGCTCTCCACGCAGGCTCGCGCTGCCCCGGGGGCCTCGTGGCTCTTCCTCGCGGAGCCCTGCCCTGGCCTCCGGTGCGACATGGGGCAGCAGGGCCCCCCTGTGGGGCTGCTTCCAGGACTGATGGAGGGAGCTGTCCCCGTCGGTCGGGCTCTCGGTGTTTGGTGACGACGACGAGTGTAAGAAGCAGGAGCCAGGCCAGACTGAGCTCGTCTACCCCTGGCCTCCCCGGGAGCTTGGGCTCATCACCCCCCTTCCTGGATGAGGACGCCAAGGCTCACGGGTGCCCTGACTTGCTCTAAAGAAACAAGAAGGGCGTGCTGGGCTGCGACCCAGGTGGCCCCTTTTGGAGGCTGGACACAACGCACGTATGCTCAAAACCAGCTGGCTGAGGTCACTTCCCGGTGATCCCCCAGGTCTCCTGGCCAACCGATCGGTGGCCACAGGGGCGGCGCAGCTCAGGGCCGTGGCTGGGAAGCGGGCAGTGAGAGGACGCAGCCCGTGCCCCGCCTGGGGCGGGAGGAAGGCACGGCGAAACCCGGCCAGGCGGCCAAAGTGGTGTTTTCTTCTTCCGGGATGTGTTCGGCTCTCAGAAGGGAGGGCCAGGCTGGTGCCAACCCCGGGACGCCCCGGCAAGGCCCCGGGTGTGTGGGGGACAGAGCTTGGAGCCGGGGGTCAGGAGGCTGGAGACGGCTTTACCGCCCTGGGCGAACTCGGGCTGGTTCGGCTCCTCTCGGAGTCGGTTCCCTGTGACACGAGTGGCTGTATCAGTTCACCGTCCTGTGGATCCCGGGGGGGCTGCCGTCTTCCCAGAATCCCAACAGCTCCCGGTCCGAGTCTGGAGCCTGAGGACACTGGAAATGAGGCTCCTTAGCCACAGGGGTGTCCCCAGCATGAGGCTATCGTGTGGGGGCGTCGGGGAGCCGGAAGGCCACCACAGACGGGCCCCGTGCCCCCACGTGAGATGTCGCTGCCCGCAGGGACCCCCTCACGGCCCCCCTGGGCCCCGAGTCCAGCGGAAGAAAGTGACAGGAGGGAGGGTCACCCCCACCTCCCAACCACCCACAGGGGCCAGGATGGGGGCAGGAAGGAGGTGGTAATGTTCTCCAGTCAAGGCCAGAGGGTCACACGGCCAGATAAGCCTCCAGGGAGGCTCCGGCCAGAGCGGCCGCGTTTATCAGACGGCAGAACCAACAGAGGAAAATGCCACAGCAGGGCTGGGCAACACCCCGCGCCGGCCCCCCGCTCCGCGCCGGCCCCCGCATCACCCCACCGCTCCCCGTGCCCGCGGGGGACCCAGCCCGACTCCACAGGCTTATCTCCTTGAGAAAGTCACCTCCCTGCCTCAACGCAGCAAATGCACCAGCTGTCGGCCACCGCGTGGCCCACCGGCCCCGAGAGTGGGCAAAGCGGGGACAGCCTTTTGTGCAGGGACAGAAGGAGCTCAAAGGAGGCCGCTCCGTGGACAGGCTCGCGGGCCCAGGTCGTCCTGCGGCCCACTTCTTCCTCCCTCCCGCTCCGAGCCACAGTCTCCTTGGCCCGGAAAGTTCCTGTGGGGCCGCTCCTTACTCCATAAGCTCTGAGGGTGCACCCCTCACCTGCCAGGCCCACAGAGAAAGCAAGATACGGCCCCGACGGCGGGGAGCGGGGCGAGGGTGGGACAGACGTGCACAGACAGATGCGTGACCACAGCGTGTGCTGTGGCGGTGCTTAGCCCAGCACTGCCCAGAACGTTCCGGGACCTCGAGTCCTGTGATGTCTTCCCTCTGAAGGGGGTTCCCTGGTCAGGCCCTGGAGTTTGTGTGCTCCCCAGCTCCTCAGCACGTGAAAGGTTAAGGCAGAAAGTCCTCTCAAATGCAATCTTTTTTTAAGTTTATTCATTTACTTTGAGAGACACAGGTAGTGTGAGCGGGGGAGGGGCAGAGAGAGGAAGAAAGAGAATCCCAAGCAGGCTCTGTCCACACTGTCAGTGCGGAGCCTGACGTGGGGCTCGAACCCGAGAAGCCTCAAGATCATGACCTGAGCCGAAACCAAGAGGAGAACGCTTACCCGACTGAGCCCCCCTGGTGCCCCCCGGATGTAATCTCTGTAAGCCTGTTTCACTTTGACTCT